CTTCCTTCCTTCCTTCCTTCCTTCCTTCCTTCCTTCCTTCCTTCCTTTTCCATCACTGGAGGCTTTTAAGAAGACATGGGACAACCATTTGTCTGAAATGGTGTAGGGTTTCCTGCCTAAGCAGAGTGTTGGATTAGAAGATCCCTCCAAAGTCCCTTCTCACTCTGTTATTCTATATTCTAGATGCAGGATGGTGAATGGCATGCAGCTTGGTCCCTTGCCAAATGGATCTGTAATAAGAGTAGGACCATGTGGTTCTCCAGAGGTGGCGGACAATAATCGGTAGGGCTCTGCCTAAGGAATGCCTGGTGCAGGATTTCAGCAGTCTGTAGGATCACAGATGGGTTGCGTCAGTCAACCATCTGCAACCCTAAAGACACCGGATACCCCCACTTCCATCGATCCTGCCTGGGGGCCACGTGCCTTATCCTGCCCCTGGGTTTATCGCCCTTTGGGTCTAATTTATCTTGCAACTACCACCCTCCCCTCCACTGAGCTACAAGGGGATCGATTTGCTCCTTGCCCAGTGTGGGGCATGGCAGACGTGTTGTTGGTTACGCCTTGGCAGCGGGGAACATTACAGAACGAACCCATCTGGAGGAGATCAGTGGAAAAAAGGTTGCTGCCAGGCGCTTAGAAGGATTCCAGGGATGTCTCCTCTTTGCAAGAATCTACGTTCCCTGTTGGTTTCTTTCTCCCAGGCCTAAGATTTTCCTTTGCCCAGATATTTGACACTGAGATGTAGCATGAGACGCAACAAATGCATTCGTTTTGAGAGTCCAAGCATTTCTGTTTTAAGGGAAGCTAGCCTGCCTGCCTGCCTGCCTGCCTGCCTATCCATCCATCCATCCATCCATCCATCCATCATCCATCTAATCTATCTAATCTATCTAATCTATCTAATCTATCTATCTATCTATCTATCTATCTATCTATCTATCTATCTATCTATCTACAGTATCTATTTATCTATCCATCCATCTATGGTATCTATCTACTGACGATATCTATCTACAGTATCCATCCATCCATCCATCATCCATCATCCATCTTATCTATTTATCTATCTATCTATCTATCTATCATCTATCTATCTATCTATCTATCTATCATCTATCTATCTATCTATCTATCTATCTATCTATCTATCTATCTATCTATCTACCGTATCTATTTATCCATCCATCCATCTATGGTATCTATCTACTGACGGTATCTATCTACAGTATCCATCCATCCATCCATCCATCATCCATCTTATCTATCTATCTATCTATCTATCTATCTATCTATCTATCTATCTATCTATCTATCAATCTATCAATCTATCAATCTATCAATCTATCAATCTATCTATCATCTATCTATTTCTACCATCTATCTAACCATCCATCCATCCATCCATCCATCCACCTAACATCTCTCTCTCTCTCTCTCTCTCTCTCTCTCTCTCTCTCTCTCTCTCTCATATCTAAAAGTGCAAGGAGTTTTCCCATTGGGTGGCAAAAGGTAGCAATTGTACAACCTCTCAGATGCTACCTGGGCTGTGTAAACCATGAGCAATCTCGCTCATCAGGAGAGCTTTCGAGTTGCCTTGCTCCACTCAAATCGAACCAGGGTGTTAGAATAGGACAGGTTGCCTCTTGTAGTTTCAAAGCTTTGGCTAATTATGAGCTGAATGTAATTTTAGTTAATGTGTTCAGTCTTTGCCCTGGGGAGATTCTCATGGAAGGAAATCCTAGCTTCCCTGCCTGCCTGAGCATCAAGTGGAAGTAAGGAGTGGATTTCCATGCATAGATCTGACTCTAAGCAATGGGACCTTCTCAGCCCTTTGTGTCAAAAGGCGATTTTATTGTTATTCATTGATTGATTGATTTGATTAGTCTACCGCTAAATCCATAAAGACTCGGGTATTTTTACTGACTTGATTGACGTTAAAAGTCATCCTTGACCAACGACTGCAATCGAGGCCCAAATTTTCCGTGGCTAAGCCAGACCGTTGTTAAGTGAGCTTTGCCCCAGTTTTACGATCTTTATGGCCACTGCTGCGAAGTGAATCACTGCCATTAAGTTAGTAACGTGGATGTGAAGTGAATCTGGCTTCCTTCATTGACTTTGCAGGTCGCAAAAGGGGATCATATGACACTGCAACTGTCATAAATGTGAATCAGCTGCAAGGCATCTGAATCTTGATTTAATGTGTCCACAGAAATGCTGCAACAGTCATAAGGGCGAAAAACGGTCCTAAAGTCCCTTTTTCCAGTGCTGTTGTAACTTTGGATGGTCACTAAATGGATAGAATCATTGTTGTGGTTCTCTGGCAGCAGGTGCGGACAGCTGAGGTCTCAGAGAGCGAGGACTCAGATGAGGGGCCTGCGTGAGATGCAGGGATGGGGCCAGGGCCATCAGGGAGTGGAGTGCTGCCTTTGTGGAGGCTGGCAGCAGTGATGAAGAGGTCCCCGAGGAGCCTGTGCCCAGTGTGCATGTGCGCAGAGCTGCTCAAAGGAAAGAGCAGCTACAGCAGCACTGGTGACTCAGGAGTAAGGCTGTAAGGTAATGGCCTCTCCCTTAAGAGATAAAAGCCAGCTGAGAAACTGGAGTTCTTTGCAGGAAGCAAAGAAGTTTTGCACTCAAGCCTTGTGGACGTTCGGAATATCTTGCTTGGTATTTGGAGACTCTTTGGGTTTGAAATATTTCTTAGTAATTTTATCTAGTGTTCTTGGCAGACTTGCACCACCTTGGCAAGGCTCCTTCTTATCAGAGACAATTAATTTGAAACAGCCTTTTAACTGTGAAGGAACAGAATTCATAAAGAATCATTAAAAGGTTTTGCTGTTACCTCTGTTTCATGTTTGTTTCCTTGGAACGAGGTTTGGGTCGGAACAATAATTCTGTTTGGTTCTATTACCTCCGTTGACTGCAGGGCCATTGATCCAGCCAATTTCAACCTTGTTGTAATACAAGTATATTCAATGTACAACCACATCTGAGCCCAATATTGATGCTGTTAAGTGAGACATTTGTTAAGTGAGTTTTGCCCCAGTTTACGACCTTTCTTGCCACCATTGTTAAGTGAATCGTTGCGGTTATTAAATCTGAATCTGGCTTCCCCATTAACTTTGTTCATCAGAAGGTGGCAAAAGGGATCACTTGAGCCTGGGACTCAGCAATGGTCATAAGTACGAACCAGTTGCCAGTTTTGAACACACACACACACAAATACACACACACACACACACACACACGAGGATGCTACAAAAGTTGTAACAGTGAAAAACGGACCTAAGTCACTTTTTTCAGTGCCGTTGTAACTTTGAACCGCCGCTAAATGAACTGTTGTAAGTCGAGGACTACCTGTATGACCGAGGGCTATTTCCCCCCCACACACACACACACACAAAAAAAAGTCATGATTTTTGCAGCATTATCCTTGATAGAAATACTTTTCCAAGATCAAGTTTTGCTTGCAGACGAATCTCTCTCTCTCATGCACTTCTTTGGTTGGTTTGGAGGAAACTTCGAAGTTCCCAAAATCTTTATTTTAGGAAACTGAAATGTCTTGAAATCTTAGCCATTTTTTAATTTTTTGGGTGGCACAAGAGATTGAGCCAGAGATTGTGCAATTTGGAAACGCGCAATTTGTTGCTTCGTTTTCCTTGTTGGAACAGAACAAGCCAAGAGTTGGAAATCTGGCACCTATGTTGCCAAGGTGCCTGCAGGTACCTTTTCTTTGGCCTCTGCTTCCCCCCCTCTTTTTTTTAATTAAAAAAATGAGAAGTTGGCAGGCTGCAAGACAAAGCCATTTACATTGTCAGTAAACTGGGGTGGGGGAAACACAGGAGACATCTATTATCTGATGAGTTTGCTTCTTCCTCACCCACAGTGGTGGTTATTATCACAATTTATCCTAATCTTTTTTTTTAATTATTATTTTTCAGGGCAAGAGGGCTCGTAAATTCGGTTTAATTACAGCCGTGCCTTTGGGTATTAGATTAAGATTTGCATTTTGGAAAATAAAAAACCTGCATGTTGCTTCAAAGGGCTTTTTTTTGCTTTAATAAACTTCTTCTATCTTGTGTCCCCTCATTTTGCCACCTTGGTCTTCAGGGTGCTTACAAACAGGTGATGGGGTGTTTAGAATGGCTGTGGGAGTCGTCTTAAAAAGGAAAGAAAGTCTAAATTGACAATATAAATTACTAGCTCATACCTGTGCTTCGCTATGAAACTATGTGGCCGGGCTTAGTTTTTGTGGAGGAAAATAAGAGGGGAAAAAAAAATTGTGCCTCTGCCTACCAGCACCCATCGGTACTCACCTGGCTAGCGTCCTGTCAGGGTGTGAGAGAGTTGAGGGCTGTTTGGAAACTGAAACAGTATTTGCTATTTTGCATTGGTTCCTAACGTTGCTAAAGACAGAAGGAAAGCAACTTCAGATTCTCCACAGAGGCATTAGTACAGGGGCAGGGGGTGTTTGCTGGCACATTTCCTTTTTCCCATCCTGCAGGGAGAGCAGACTTCAAACGCTTTTGCAAGGGATTTTAAACACTGCATTTTGTTTTGTTTTTTTCTGTAGGTATCCAAGCCGAACCCCAGCTTTCCAATTGGTCTTTTCTCCTAAAGAGACAATAATCTTCTTCTTCTTCTTCTTCTTCTTCTCCTCCTTCTTCTTCTTCTTCTTCTTCTTCTTCTTCTTCTTCTTCTTCTTCTCCCCCTCCTCCTCCTCCTTCCCCCCTTCCTGCTCCCTTCAAACATGTTGTGGCTAAGTCCAAGCCTTGGGCCTCTTCTCTTGGTTTCCTTAAAAACCAAAACCACCCATCCTCGCTAGACTCACAAAACAAGGTTGGCGTGCCCCAAACACCTGCCAGATTTGCACATCCCATCTTTTCTTGACTCCATCCAGCCTGCGGGGCAGAGTTGGCACTGGAGTGGTGGAGGAATAAAACAGGATGAGGGGTTTTGATAGCAAGCCAAAGCGAGATACCAAAATAGGCTGTGGGATCGGATCCAGTAGTTCTTGGCTCGGGATCAATGAACGCTGTCTTTCGGCTAGTAAACTGCATGGTATGCGGGCTAAAGTTCTATATATTTTCTCTGGGATGGTGTCACCCTGACTCCAGGATGAGAGCATTATCAACATATCGCCAAGTCTTCCAGGAGCTCTTTTATATTACCTTTCTTTTCTTTTTTAGCTGCTTTGATTTACATCCGTTCTCTCCTTAAATTTCACTCAGATCAGTTGCAAAGCTTTCAGTGTGTGTGTGTGTGTGTGCATTGGTGTGCGAGAGTGTGCAATTACAGAAAAAGATGTTGAGACTGGAAAGAATGCAGAATGCCCAGCAACACATCTCCAAATGCAAAGCTATTCTGGAAGGAAAAAGTGCAGAGAAAAAAAAAATGCAGAGAAGAGCAACTAAGAGGATTAAAAGGTCTGGAGGCTAAAACCTACGGAGAACGGTGGCGGGATTTGGGTTTGGCTAGTCTAGAGGAAAGAAGGACTGGGGGGAGACATGATACCAGTATTCCAGTACTTGAGGGACTGCCTGGAATCAAGGAGAAACTGCCTAACAGGGAGGACAATTAACAGATTGCCTTCAGAAGTTGCAGGGCAGTGGTGGTTAACCTTTTTGGGGCTCCAGTGCCAAAAATTATGCGCTCACATGCCAGCACCCAGAAGGCAATGCCCCCCTCATGCCCCCTGTGTATGCGCATGCAATTGCCCCCCTGCTACCCCCTTACCTGCACTGCCCTCACAGCTGATTTTTCGGCTGGTTTGAGGCCTTTTTCAGCCTCCCAGACAGTTTGAAAAGCCCTCTGCAGGCTTTGCAGGGCGAATAATAGGCCCGTTTCGTCACTTCTGTTATTGCAGTAAGTGACGAAACGGACCTATTATTCGTCCTGCAAAGCCTGCAGAGGTTTTTTTTTTTTTTCAAGCATCTGGGAGTCCAAAAAAGGCTTCAAACCAGCCAAAAAAATCAGCTGTGAGGCGCAGTGCATGCGCAGTGAGGTAAGTTTGTCTGCGGCTCATGTGCCGGCACAAATGGCTCTGCGTGCCACCTTTGGCGTGCATGCCATAGGTTCGCCATCACAGTTGTAGGGGCTTCATCACTAGAGCTTTGCAGGTAGAAATTGGACAGTCACCTGTCTGAAATGTTCTAGTGTCTTGGTTGAGCAGGGGGTTAGACTAGAAGGCCTCCGAGGTCCCTCCCATCTCTGTTCTGATTGAGATTGATTGGGGTGTGTATGAGGGAACTAGCAGGCTGCATCTTCTCCTTTCTTGAGCTAAAATAGACCCCACCAAGATCTATCTAGGAAAGAGGAGAAGACTTAAATTTAGCAAGCCACGGGCCAAATGGGAAGCCAGGGAACCAAATTGGATCTGACCACCTTGGGAGGACGGGGGTGGGGGGTGGGGGTGGAATGCCTGGGGGGAATGTGTGATCTAAGGCATAAACTTGTTTTTATAGGGGCAGGGGAAATGAAGAGAGTTTGGCTGGAACCAAGTTTGAAGGAGTTTTTGGAAAAACAACAACAACCAAATTATATACTCTCCCCTCTCCAGTTTGTTCAAGGAGTTACACATTTTTTTTTTTGCTTCTTAATTTATTAGCAAAACAACCTAAAAGGATAGGTTAAGCTGAGAACGGATGGCTGGGCCAAGATCATTCAGGGAGTGGAATGGCTCCAGAGAGATTTGCTAACCTTCTTGGCTATCATTTTGCTTCTGTAACTAAGAAGATAAACAAGATCATCAAAGGAATGAGAGTATATTTCAGGGTTTTCTTGTATGAATGTCATAAATCAAAGCACCAGGTTTGCAAGTACCTGGAGGAACCTCTCCCTGCGTTGCTGCTGAAACATCAAACAGTCACTAAATGAACTGTTATAAGTTGAGGACTACCTGTCCTAAAGGACTTTGCTTGAAGATTAGCAGGAAAATGACAGCAGAGATATGCAAACTTTGCTGGTCAAGTCTCATAAAAATAAAAAAAACAGACGGAACATTTTCCAAAATAAATTGGCTTCTGTTAGAATCCCCTCCTTTGCCAAATCCCGTGTTCTAAAATAAAAGCTTATATTGGAGTTACATGACCAAGGAGAAGTGTTTCAAACCCCAAAACCATTCTATATGCTTGGAGGCATTTTTTTTTAAAAAAAGAGAAATTGATGTAACGTGTGTTATGCTTATTCATTCTTATTTCTAACTAGATTTTTTTGTATACATTTCCTAAAACTCTAGAGTTGTCCTTTCAATCGCTTGGGGAAAACTACTCAATTCTGTGTGATGTTAAGTGTCAGGGTTCCAGCAAACCTCCATCCCAATCAATAACTCCGAGACAAACATATCTCAAAAGTACTTTTATGAGGATAGTAAACTGGCACATCTGTGGAATCCCGAGTTTCTGGGCTTCCTACAATTTTCCAAACTACAAATACATCCCCCGCTTGGCCGTCATCACATCACATGGCCCAATCACGATCTGTCCAAAAGTAAGATCCTTATTTCATCCTGCGCCATTCTCAATGACCTTGAACTAACAAAAGAATTTATTTTGTCTACTTAGAGCTACTCAGTTGAATCCACCCCCTCCCACTTTCTCAGGCTTGTGGCAGCGTGGAAGTATCAAATCTCAGTATGGCTTCCAAAGATGACATTAAGCTTCCATCGAGTATTGCTATACAGCATACACAACAACAATAATAGTTAAAGATGTAGGTGGTAGTAAAAGTGACAAATAGATGGAGTTTTATTCATTGCATCAAGCCATACTGGGATTGTCTACTAGTATCCAGGTATTGAGCTCTTCCCAACCATGATTAACCATTTGTTATTTGTGCTTTTGAGTCAGTCTTGACTTCAGGCAGCTGTCTGGATATGTCCATGCGATTTTCTTGGGAAGATTTCTAGAAGCTACTCGTTCTATTTTCTTCTTAGGATAGAGGGGAGAGACGGGCCTAATGTCACCCTCTGGCTTTATGTCTAAAGTAGGGTGTCAGGGCTTTGACAAACCACCCCCATTCAAATCATAAGTCTCTATCCGCATCTAGAGATAGCCAATGGAGAGAGGAAGGGAGGGAGAGGGGAGAGAGGGAGGAAGAAAGAAAGAGAAAGAAAAAGAAAGAAAAGGAGAAAGAAAGAAAAGCACTTGGATTTCTTTAAAACCACGTGTAAACTTCC